AAATTTTCATGTCATACTGATGTCATTTGAGTAATTTGCAAAACTTTTATAATCAAGGTAAGTTTGGAAAAAATTCAAAATATACCATTTTTTATTTATTGAGATTATACGCGAAATACAACAGGTGATTCCAGTATCAAAAAACAGCGCCACATTCATTTCGTAAATATGAGTCGCAGCTTATACTTATCTGAAGTTTCACATTCTATATTTTATCATGAATTTTTGAGAATCTCATAATATCATATTGACACCAATTTTGGACACCCTGTATAAGATCTGGGTTTATACACTGGCAGTATTACAAAATGAGCATATGCAGAAGTGAAACTAGCAAAAAATCGTTTTTGGAGAGGTGCATGTGACCCGTAACATATATGGAAAAAATTATAGGATAATTCTTAAATAGTGCGACATTCTCCAAAAGCATAATATAATTATTACTCTTCTAAACATACTAAAGACTAGATTGGATATATTGCAAATAAATTTACAATGATATTGTTTTTTACACAGTTCACGTACTTTTATTTTATATACAGCAGAATAGTTTACGTACATTTCATAAGTCTTTCATATTAAAAAGTAATGTTGTTTCCAAAATGCTTTACAGATGACTATATACCATATATCTAACATTGCAGTAAATATCTGCCATGTTGGATTCGCCATTTTGGTTCTTTGGAAAATCGATACAACATTCGTTATCAGCGACCTGTAAACATGTCCGCCATACTGAATGCTCCATTTTGTGTTTCAAAAAATCGGTATTAAATTCGTTATCAGCGACATCGAAAGCATACAAAACTCGAATTTGAGCGCAGTCCAAACATTTTTTTGTAAATGTATCAACGATATATTGGATCCGCCATTTTGATTCCGGGGTATAATAGGTATTCGTTATCATCAACATAGAAAACATGTAAATGAAGCGTTATTTGGTGAAATTTTGTGAACCTCTCTAGTTTTATGATTTGGAAGCAAAGTACGTGGTTTGCACAGCTGATAGAATGAAAATCCTCGCGGTCGGGCCGTGATGCCAGTCCGTATGACGTCATAGCCACGCGTGCCGCCGGTCCGGAGCGGATAAGTGGGCACTTACCTTTAATATACTAAAAAAAAAACGGTTTTGATGAAAAAAATTGGCTAGTTTTTACTGGATATTATATGCCACGAAGTGTTTTAAATGTAGTCAGAGATACCACCTCTTTCGAAATATTGCAATTTTGGCTATTTGGAAATTTCCGTAAAGCATTTTGAAAAAATGTTATTGCAGGTAAAATGTAACAAGTATACTTGAAAACAATTAATAATTAAGGTCAGTCGGATAAATATACAAATATATACACTGTAAAAAATATAATAAGGCAGATATTAAATAAAAAAATACAACGTAAAAAAATAAAATCCAGGCTAGATTATATTTCCATTTCAATAAACGAGCACATAAAATTTTTTATAGATCGATTAAATGAATAATGTACAATCTATTCTAATGAAAGATGCTGTAATATACAGCACACGTCAAAAGTGAAGAATCATTCATAAATCCAGTTGTTCTAGGAATTTTGAACTCTTTCTGACCAATTCAGCATCGATTCCATACCTTTGACTAGCAGTGTATAATATAAACGAATAAAAAATAGCATTGAAGTGCAAGCTATTTCAGCCAGGAACCATTTTTGTGCATTGTTAGTAGGTACATATATAATTGATAAATAATACTTTTGTCCTTAAATAACAACTTATCGTTTCTTGACTAGATTTTTATTTTTTTAGATCACTGCAAAAATCCCCAACAGGCTTATTCTGTAGACATGTAAACTTCGTAGCTTTATTCATATTGGAAAAGTTTTTAAGCTATCACAAAGGATACATGCAAGCGTTTATAGCTTCAATATTCACTAAAGTCTGATTAGTTTAGGTTCAATTCCAAATTCCAAATAGGCCCAGATTCTAAACGCGCCTATAAACCGTTGGTTCGGTTCAAATAAAGAATTTTTTGGTATAATTCGTGAACCTTAGTTATGGTGTTTATCAGTTAACGAACTGCGCTTAAACCATGGATATTAAAAGTTCCACGCTCTCTGGGCCTAAAACGATCATATTCCCGACTGTATGAAGTAGTTAGAAATAAACTGAAAACATGATAGGTCAGAAATGAACACTTAAAGCGTTATTGTGTCTCCACATACTAAGAACATATACACAAATACATAGATAATATCACTGATGAGTGCTAACGTGGCTACAATAGCGTTCTACGATATGTATATATCCAAATTCATTCCATATCATGCTCCAATTATGGTATTTTATATCTCATTGTATTCCATTCTCTCATAAGTAGATATATGTTACATTTTACAAATTTGAAATGGTTTTTCTCTTTGTTTTGTCCACAGTGCTGGAATAGCAAATGATTATCTTTATAAACTCCACAGTGTAATCTCCTTAGATAGTTCTTGCAAGTACAGGTATCAGGGTACGCCACTGATAACGCAAAGACACACATGTGAACCAGTAGCGACATTACGTTACCATGTTAGTACTTGACATAATACAGTGAAGTTGACATCGAAACAATGGGCTAGTTGACACTTCTTTAAGTAGGTCATAATTAGTTATGATTTGTTATATTACACCAAAAAAATACTATATTTTTAGACCTTAAAGACTGTTAAACTTTAATTTAAAAATAATTTTTTTTAGATACCTAGGCGAACTCGCTATCCGCCATGTTTGACCAATATTAATGTGCTCTGGCGTCATACCATTTGTAAACAGCAGCTGACAACAGGATAACCTTTAAAACTTCTAAACATATAAACTAAACATGGCTTCTACTAGTTTACATGAAAAATACAGTAATTACCGTTATTGCATCGTCCGAGAATGTAAAAACACATCGGTAAAGATCCCAGGAAAGTTGTGGATTATAGCTTGCTCAGGGAAATAAATATGCGCAACACTGTGTATTGTTTAGAGCATACCATATGTTCGGGACATATTTTATATTTTACTTTGCAGATTTTATCGTCTCGTTTGGAGTTGGAATATCAGATAACATTATTCAGAGTTTAAGCTAGTTTTGAAGGTCTTCTGAAAAGGAAGATTACGTAAGTGTATTACTTATTCTTTCTTTTTATGTCTATCATTATATCAGATGCACTGTACTTACATAGAAGTTTTGATGTTCATCATCCCAAACAAATTACATACTTACCATCGATGTGTCAATTTTCGGCAAATATGCTTTCACGAATCCAACGTGTACGAGTGTTTTTCAATAAAACGAGATAACGATAACTTTTTACATTGATTAGGAGTTTTTTAGAATCAATAAAAAAAAAACAACGTTAGTCCGTCAGTGACATACGGACGACCGACGTCTCTTTGTTTACAATTTGTATGACGTCAGATCATGGCTGATAGTTGTATTTTTTAAACTGGGCTTATATATACTTCAGTGGCGGCTCGTGATTTTACAAATAGGTGACGCAGGATTGACCGACCCCCCCCCCATACCATGTAGAGCGCATACACAAAAAAAAAACATGAAATAACTTACCTAAATTCAGTAACTCGAAAACAAAGTCAGGATTATCAGGCACTTTTCATTGTTTATATATGACAGCAATTCGTCGGTCCTTCAAATTAGCAAACTTATTTATAACGTCATCGTAAAACGGCTGTGACACTATCAGTTCATTTAATAATTCTTTTTCGATCGATATTTTTGCCAAGTTCGTCAACCGATCTTCCGACATGGTACTTCGTAGATAACTTTTGATTCGCTTAAGGCATGAAAAACTGCGTTCTGTCGAAACACTTGTTGATGGAATGGTCAGTATTAAACACAAAAGCTTATATGCCTCCTTGAAGATACTGCGATTCTCAAATAGCGATTCCTTTAATAAGCGGGGTTCCATATTTTGATATTGATCATCGCTATAGATCAGCTGCAATTCATTTTTCAGTCTCTGAAAATCTGTGAATGTATTTGAATAAAACTCCTTCAAATTACTTAGGGCTTCTGTTGGAAATTTTTCTGAATATGTTTTGAACTTCGAAGTGTCCATTAACGTCACAAAATGAAGCTTTTCCATATCTTGGAAACGGGTCGTGATTTGCAGAGAAATGGTATCCAAAATTTCAAAATACAGCACTCTATATCTTTCAATAATTTGATCCCGAGACAATGTTACTCTTGTCCTGCCGTCGCGGTGTTCCGTTTGTACACTTGTTTTTGATGCAGATAATTCGAAAATATTCTTAAATGTTTCTTCATTTCTCTTCTTGTTTAATTGTGTTTGAACACTTTTAATTTGCTTAATGCAAAGGTTTATATCAAAAGATTTTTTTGCAGTGTGTCGAATAGTATATCTGTCATTCCAAAGATCTCGTTAAAAACAACAACCAAAAGCACGAATTCGAAGTCATGGAATTTATTTAGAAATCCGTCGCTCTGTCTAACCGAGGCTTGATCGGAGGTTGGATCATTAATAATTTCAGTAAACACTTGCTTTAAGGAATCCCACTCCTTATTTATAAAACTGATAACTTTAGAATTTGATGTCCATCGCGTAATAACGGAAACAGGTATTCGACGTCCTATTATTGAGTCTGCTACGTTAGTTCGTTTCGGAGAATGGTGAAAAAATGTCGGTAAACCACTTATAGTTGCAAAAAAATGCGGCATTTTGTAATACTATTGCAACTTTGTTGTAACACTAGATTCATGCGGTGTGCGAGGCAATGAACAAAAACTGCTTGGGGTGCCTGTTCCTTTATTTTAGCCTGAAGACCATTTAACTGTCCGGACATGACGCTTGCACCATCGAAACATTGTCCAACGAGTTTTGTTTTGTAATCAAAATTTTGTAGACACCTTGTCACGAGGTTAAATAATGCTTCAGATGTTCGGCTGCAGCTTACATCATGAAATCCTAAAAATCTCTCCACAAGTTTTCCTTCAAGATTGACATAACGGATTATTATGCTGCACTGCGATTTGTGGGCAATATCGGTGGAATCATCCACCTGAATGGAAAAAAAACTGCATTCCTTTATTTCATTTTCCACATATTCATCAATGCATTTGACAATGCAGTCAATAATTTCGTTTTGAATGGTTTTAGAATTGCCCGCAAATATTGAGGCAATTTTTTTGTAGTGCTGCTGAATGTCTACAGGGCTTATAGATACAAATGCTTCTAGGAGCTCTTTGAAATTTCCACGGTTAATAGAAGTCGTCTCTTCGTTGTGGCCACGAAACGCCAGTTCTTGTTTGCCCAAAAAAAGGACAGCGCGTATTGGCAATTCCATGAAACGTCTATTAAGTTGCACGTTTTCGTTAAACTGTTTAATATACAGCCTGGAATTTTCGCGTAAAGCATCCTCAATAGTAGTGAGATTTTTCTTCAATTTTGAAAAACCTAGTGCGCAACGCATATGATCCGATGATCCTTCATGTTTACGAAGAGCACGAGTCACATTCCCGAAATCATTGAAACCGTACTTGCTCCACACGGTTGCTTTAACACTTACAATCAAATACGGCACACAAAAAAGTTTATTTAAATAATAGCTACCACATAACCATGCAAACTCACTATACCACGATTTTTTAAAATTTCGACTGTACACTTTGTCCTTAACTTTAGCGGTTTTATTTACATTTAATATCGGAGAAGGTTTTTCGGAGTTTAAAAAGTCTTTTTTATCATCATTACTCCATTGAGAAAACGATTTTTCCAACATAACACAAACCGTATCATAGACAGGAAACATTGTTCAAAACAATGAAAACTAACCTCGACACAATACGATATCGGTAGTAATGCAGAGCAGACTAGACGCAAATTCATAATTTGCTTCACTTGCCTCGGCCAAAACGGAAGCGCGCGTGCCGTTGTCATGGCAACCGTCGTATTTGCTCGTATCTGTACTGGACGCAGCAATGCGGTGCAAATAAAGCTGCTTCAGGTCTCTGTTTCAACACGCCAAATTAAGCGCAAACGTAGGCGCGTTGTTGGTTGCGGGGTTTCTCAGTATTCTGTTGATCGCAAATACAAATAAAGAATGTCCGAAAAATATTTTTTTAAGATATAAATGAATTTTTTTTATAAATTTCAAAATAAAAAAAATATATTTTTTTTGAAATTGCAGGTGAAGCAGCGCCACTGATATACTTCTTGCGATTTTAAAAGTTGAAATCGATATATTTAGTTTTTTCGTTTTCTTAATGCAAATACTTCAAGAAATACTCATTTATTCTATGAAATTAAATGCGACTCAAATTGCCCGCAGAAAATTAATCAAAGAATCACTGTTGAAATTATGAGACTAAGATGACTGAAATAGTTCCCTGCGAACCAGATTAAGATAGTTCCTTTTTTCGCGAGTCACGTGACAGGCAATCACAATATTCCATTTCAGTTTGTTTGTCAATTTCGCAAATCTGTCTTTCTGGCAATGAGTTGAAGGTATTTCTCAAGTTAAATGCCAAGTTCTGAGATCACTAGAGGACGGAGCAGCAACTACACTCTAGTTCCATATTCTTCTAGGAGGAATTACCGAACATATCCTTAAATTCCGGTCCAGAATGGCGGCTACTTGCATAATTCTGACAGCAGTTGTACGCTAGATAAGCTGTGGAAACGTCAATTTTCTATTTCAGCACTGCAGAAACCCGTTCTCAAAAATAAACTAATCAGACGTCTGAATTTCTGAACAGATAACATCAGTCTTGCGTTTCGCCATAACTATCGGTATACACGGTATATATAGGGAAGATACGGGAGGTACAAACATGGAAAATCGAAAGTTCGTGTCGCAAAACTTCAATGCAACGTCACAGTGCTCGCAAGGCATAGATAAGTCACAAAAAGCACGTATTTTACAGTTGTGCTGCCCGCTTTTTGAGGCAACGCCACGTTTAGCATTGATTCTACCTGAATATAGGCAATCATATGCGTATTGCGCCGCCCAAAAGGTGATCTGAAAGATAACTGCTATGAGACAATAGCGGAAAACAAAAATGAATTTAGAAATCTAGTTTGAAAAAGGTTAGTGTTTGGTTAGCCATAGTTCATCGCAATCTTCGTCTAGTATGGGAGTGACGTCTCTCTAATGTCGATTTTAATTGAGCATCTTAAGGTTACTTAGTTTACGCTTGAATAGGGATTGAAGGTCATAGCGCCATCTATGACACAGTAGCAGAACCAAACATCCTAATCCTTTTCAAAGTTCCTAAATTATTTTTTTCGTACTGCTACTGTGTCATTGATGGCGCTAGTAGCAACTAAGATCCCTTTTGGCACGTTGGAATACAGTATATTCAGGTAGAATAAATTAAGATTGTAATAAAATTTGATTTCGCGAACTGTCGATTTGTCATCTGTGTACATGTAGAAGGTGTTAGTAATTGACACTACGTCCGCGTATGTTATGACATATGACACGTGATGATGCGGCTTAAGCGTACGACTCGCTCAGATGGTCCAATAGGAAATCGAATTGGTGGTAGCGGGGGGTATCTGAGACGAGCGAAGTGCCGTTCAGCGCGCTCAAGCGGTACTGCTCGCTGAACGACATCAAAATGTCGCGAATCTTTGCAATGATCTCTTCCACTCAGGCGTTTGATTCCTGTAACAGAAAAACAAAGTTAAGGATGGTCAAGTATTGAAATGAATGAGAGTAGCATAAAGCCGACGTACGCGCACTGCTAACGCGGTACTATCGCTTTTGAAGTGGTGCTTGACTGTACTCTGGTTCATGACTAGTATACTATGCGTTGGATGGAAATGAGTTTGCAAAATGTGAGCACCGCACTTTATGAACAGATGTCAACTGAGAAGATGTCAAATAATGATAATCATAATCCAGATCTTGCAGGGCCACTTTGTGGTCAATTTTTTTAATTACCTCCCCTCTTAAGCAATTACAAAAAAGTAGTCTTTTTGGAGCTATGAGCCATTCACAGTCAGACCTTCCTTGAGGCTTGAGGTTTCCTTTAAAGTAACGGATATGCCCTTCTAAACAGTGAAACAATGACGCTCCCTTGAGGAATGTTCAAGGAAGAATTTGAATTTTCATTTCACAGTAGGCTGTAACAGTTGTCATGACAAGGTGTTAGCGATTCAGAAAGATTTTTCTTTGCTGACCGTATCTATTTAAGATTTTGATGGTAAAATTGGGATGATTTGGTTTATTTACCAATAAGCATTAAACAAATGCAAATGTTTGCTTCCTCGTATTTTTGCATAATCACAGAGATACAAAAAGATGCAAATAGGCAACCAGTTGCACCAAACTGCTCTGCTGGTTACAGATTTTAAGTTACAGATTCCCACTACTTCTCCGTATTTCACAAAAAAAAGTATTTTATACCCAAATTTTGTATTATTATAAATTATAAGGCGTCACGATAAAAAAAAAGGTTAGCGAGGAGAAGATGAATATGATCGAGATACTACACAAAAAAGAATCATTTATAATAAAGACAGATAGCAGTAGCTGAGCAGTTCGATGCAACTGGATGTCTTTATCCAGTTTCTTACTTCTGTGTGATTGTGATGTAATTCGAGGAAGTAAAAATATTATTATTTTTATGCATCGTTTATTCACTTATCAAAATGCTAAATAGCCAACAAAGAAAAATCTGTCTGACATCGATGACAGCTTGTGATGTCTGTTACAACCTACTGTGAAATAAAAATTTAAAACATCCCTTGAACGTTCCTCAAGGAAGCGTCATTGTTTTATACTTGTTCCAGTGAGAGATCCATTGTTTCCAAGGAAGCCTCAAGCCTCAAGGAAGGTCTAGAAATCTGACTCTAAATGACTCGAAAACCCAAAAACTGGCCATCTTCAATCATTAAAGTCCCTAAAGAGTATTTTAAAATTGATATATTTGAAACTGATTTATAATCTAGTTTGTTAGGCCAAAATTGGCGAACGACTGTACATACCACCTTCATTAAATTGAAGCCGAAATCAATGTTTTGTTTTTAGCAAAATGTGTACCGGCAGTTAACTTTTTTTAAACATACAGGGCGTCCCAAAAGTTATGGAAATGTGGTGATAGAGTGTCATTTCCAATCAGAAAAGTGTTTTTCAGAAATTAAATGGATGATTATTATTATTATTATTATAGCTCAAAAATGACCAACTTTAGAGAAAAGTTACTGAGGCATTTTTTGTTCAGGATAATCCGAGAAGGGTATTAAAAAATAGACCAAAAAGTGGACCGGCAAAATCTGGATTATTATTCTTTGACCTCTTCTTAGTTGATTTGTGTTCATAAAGTGCGATCCTCACATTTTGCAAGTTCAGTTCCATCTAGTGCCTGGTCTATAATGGAAACCCTAATTAGTTGGAATACGAATTTCAAGCACGTTTCCAACATTTCCAACATATGAGCGAAAAAAATAAGGATTATCTCTGGAAAATGGCAATACATTTATGTTTGCTATTAAGAATGAAATATTATTAGAGTTGAAAATACCATATTTTCTAACCTAAGACTTTTTAAATACTCAAACGTATTTTTTAGCTGAATCTAAAGCCACCAGAAAGTTGAAAAATTTCGAAGAAAAACCATGTTTAGTTTTTTTGAAAATACTGAACATAACATTTTTGATTACACCACCACTGGAAATTAGAAAATACACAAATGCAGTGTTTAGGGAAGCTCTTTTTTTGTTATTTTGTGGACCAACCTTCAAATTTTCGAAGTAGTGCATGATCTGATCATAATCCATATCAAGCTGCAAGTCGTCTCCAAGATCAGATGGCAACTTTTCTGTGGACGCATTTTCGTTTGCGTTGAACATTCTATTTTCGACAACAGTTGCCTGTTTTACGCCTCCACTGTTTCTGTTGCCTGAAAATAGAATTGAACTATAACAATACCCCGCTTGCTGTAAATCGTTCTTAGCATGTTTTAATCAAGAACCGTTTTCTAATAGAGTCGGAGAAACTTTATTTATGAACGAAAATTGTATCACAAACCAAAGTATGAACATGTTTTCATTGTTCATCATAATCATCATTTAAACATTTGTCGATTCGTAGCACCTGCTTTTGGGTCGCGTCGTCAAAGAACGCTGCCGCCCGACCGTAAAACCAGTTAGTAACTGTTTCTTTCAACATGTCATCATTTTCGAGCGCTTTCCATCCAGAAATTTCTTAACATGCAACCAACAACGACAGATGCGTAAAAAGTAATGGCAGCATAGTGAAAGACTGGCCGAGTGTGTCTAAGGTTGGACGGACGTCACGTGACAGGATGCGCGCGCGCGATGCGCAAACGGTTCTTACTTTAAAAATAGCCCTCGTATTTTCTCCGCCTTTGGAGTAAAGTTTTCGGGTGATGTTGCCACGTTGCACATTTTAGTTTTCTGGAGGGAAACTGTACACTTGCTAGCAAACCATATTGAAATTAAAGAGAATATTTTAAATTTAAGATTCATAAATCCATTTTAGTAACTATACCCTTATATATATATATATATATATATATATATATATATATATATATATATATATATATATATTGACATTTGTACAAAAGCTGATTGGTGTAGGTACTTGACTAGCTATCGTTACTATATAATACATTGTATCATTGATTAACCTGAAGGCTATACGGGGTGCATTCTAAATGAATATTAAGGGGACGATTTTTGGGTCAGTTTTATGAACGTATGTCCTAAACGTTTCTTAACTTTTGAGATGGTAAAATTATCATACTGATTTTTTAAGATAAGAGAACACTTAAACCTGTATTCATTTATGAGCAAATATTATCTGCTGAATTTTTTCGACGAATGGTTTTCACTTATGCAGAGAAACGTGCATCGGATTGAAAAAATCAAGCAATCAAATTTGCTTAGAAATGACTCATAAAAAGTGTCTTATTGAGTAGTGGTACAGCTCCACATGACACTTAATCAGGCGTTTTTTTTAATACTATGTCATTCTGAGTCTTTTAAGGTCAGAGGGAAGCTTATTATAGATTTTTATATAGGCATACTCAGTTGACTTTTCAAACATTGTTAATGCATGTGATGGTATGCTCAAATATCCATGCCAGCTCTTGTTCTGCAACGAACATTTATATCTTTATTTTTAAGAAACCTACAGTGTGTGAGGTCTTGTTGCCGTTTTCGGTAAAAAGTAATGTTAACATCACCGTGGAGAAGATTCCATCCTTTTAATCTTGACGCTAAACGTTCTGAATGGGATTTTGTCAGATTTAATTCTCGAACTAAGTAATTAAGTTCACCCTGTGTGAATAAATGCGGCGCTGTTGAACATTATGGCAGGTCAAACGAAGGATCGGAAATTTTTACGCTTTCTGTACCATCACTTTCAGAATCGGTGGAAAGACCAAGATTCTGGTGGAACTGGGACAGAAAGTCCAAAGCTGATGGTAAATTAAAATACTTAACAGTATGTTTCGATTTTGGTCCAATAGTATGTGGTATGGTCTCTCGGTTCTCTCCAAACCATTTTACGATTGTCGCCTCTTAACCAACCTGTTAACAACGTTGCACAAGTCTTACAACATATATGAGGGGCCCATAGTTTACCTTGGTCGCCAACTTTAATTCCAAAAAACACAAGCGGAGTGAAAGTACGTTTTTGGGATTACGGCAACGGTTTGGGAGTGGTGCGGAAAGTCAGAGTTTATATATAGACCCTTGGACGTAAAATGGTGCCTTCAAATATTGTCATTCAAATAAGAAACAGCTTGTATACTGTGTTCTGGATGGCAAAAAGGGATCTGTGATCCTAGCACCTTCTAAGAAAACAGTAGCAAAAGCGTCTTTGGTTCTGCTACTGTCTCATAGATGGCGCTAAGATCTTTCAGATGTTTTTGGGCGCCAGAATACAGTATATAGTTGACTGCCTTCAGGTAGAATTCGTTACACTTACTATTAGCATTTGGTGATCTAGGATATTGGATGAACTCCATTTTGTCTTCTTTTTTGTTGTCAACTTGCAGCTCATCGTCAAATTCGAACATGTTTCCTGCAGTTTCATCGTCGTCATCACTAACATCATCGTCTACCATCATGGTTGCTACAGGTCTGCCAGGTGGTGAAGAGTGTGGACTTTTGATTTCCATAGAAAACCTGTTACCAAACATTCTGTTTTGATATATACCTCTACAATAGTCTGTGTAGTGTTTTTGAGTAAGTATAGTTTCAATGAGAAATCGAAAGCTGGACTCTACCTACCTTTTGCTGTTCGCTTTCTCCTTGCTGCTCTTGGCATGGTGTCTTCTCATGGGTACGGGGGCTGGCTCAGTGGGGGTTGGAGTCCTACCGTTGCTGCCCGAAGTGCTTATTATGTTACGATGTGGTGGAATCGGAGGTCGGTAGTCGTCATCTTCAAGAACGTGAGCAGGAGATGAGTTCACCAGTGGCGTAGCGTGAGGGGGCAGCGGTGGAGGGGCATTGGGTTTGTTCCTGAAACTTCAGTGTGATAACGGCGGAGATAACGTGAACAGAAGTGAAAATTCCAACAAGAATTGAGTAGAGGGACGGAACAGAGGAAAGGTGATTTTAGAGGAGGCTGGATAGGATCGGTTGTTTTCCGTCTTTGCGACCTTAACCAACCGTATACAACGTTGTTTCATGCTATTTGCATAGAACGTCAGTGTTGAGTGACATTCAATATGATGGATGCTTCATGTTTGGCTCCATAGAAGCTAACACTGTCATTTCTATGCCATACATAGACAAGAAACATGTCTTGAGACGCCAAGAAAGAATGAGTGAAGCAAACATCGCAAAGTAGGAAGGTTAGAACTTTCATTCATCTTCATCCAGTCGTATGGTGAGGCTCATATCGTTGCTCTTGATAACACGAAAGCGTTCGATCAGCCTAGGGATGATGCCCTCTGCCTCTTCCTCCATCTTATGGCCACCCAGAGAAGGTTTACATTTGTGGCTGACTTTCTCTCTGCCGTAAGATATCCGTTGTAATTGACTGCTTTTGCTAAAGGGCTGTCCGACTAATCGATGATTCTTCTTAAGGTACCCAATGGCAGCGGCGGGCCGTCGGCGATCCAGCTCTCTTCTACTGCTACTCCAACAGGCTTTGCTCCTCAGAGATCTCCTCCAAGATGCCGCCGCGCAATGTGCCAGACAGACCCGCCTGACTTTGACCACCCATCCTAACCGTGTTGAACTTCGTACGTCCATAACTGGCCGATACGGCCACTCTTTTGTCCCGAGGGTGTTGAGATTGTGGAACAGTCTACAAGAGGAGGCTTTTTCCAGTTCTGCTCACCTTAGGCAGTTCAAAAGTCGGATTAACAAAATTTCTTTGGGATCTTCATAGCAGCCGCGGTGAGCTGGCTTCTGCTTGTGCGGCTGCTTCGATGTAAAAAAACCAAGAGGCAACAACTTGTTGGGAACCCTGAATTGCTAAGAGGTTTGAGACCTTTGTATTGGATACTATAAAAACTATAAAAGAAAGCAAAACCAATTTACACGTTACTTTGCTATGGAGGCGGAGCACAGTCGGACGTTTATAAGGTAGAGAGCATAGTTAAAAAGGTGTTTTCTGTTTTTATTACAAACTGCAATATACTGTGCCTGATATAGCCTGTCCTTGTTTTTTTATAAATAATGATTTTCGTAAATTCACGTGTGTTTTCAAATTTTCCTTACCATGCACTTCCATTATCCCTCTCTCTATCCACCTTGCTTCTGCTATAAGTGGTAGAATCGATGCCTCTTGGTTTCACTTCGGTTTTGCTTGGTAACTCAACATGGTTCGGATTGCTAAAGCATGTCGCTAAGCTGTCGTCCGGTTCACAGTAGTTCGTATTCAGGGGATTTGTTATTATTCGAACATCTAAAAAAAAATGTAGTTAATTATTTTATAATTTTGAAGCGAATTAGAATACAAATTTCAACTCCCAGCCTTCCTAGCTAACAGATTAAGGTCAAACGAAAATTGGTCTTTTAATACACCTGTGTCCTTATTTATTTAAAGAAGGCAGTTGATACAGTTGAACACAAAGAATTACTAACTACTTAGGAGAATCTAGGATTTCGTGGCAAAACACATATTTTGCTCAAAAGATAGTGTGTGAAAATTAATAATTCCATCAGCGACCTTCACCACGTAACATACGGTATCCTACAAGGTTACAGTCTTAGGACCTATCCTGTTCAACCTATATGTAAACACAGTAAAATTATCGGGTTGGCAGATGATACGGCTGTGTTTCATAGTGATAAATCTTGGAATACCTTAAAGACACTTATTCAAGAGGATTTCAAAGACATCATAAGCTTCTTAAATAATAAAATATTAACAATCAATTATGAAAAAACCTAATATCTGACTTTTTCATGCGATGATAGAAACTGTCCCACATTCACTAACATATAGTACATATCAAATTTCTAACTATGGTTGAAGTAGTAGTAACAAAGTCAGCAAATCATAAAAAACACTTAGGAATCATCATAGATAGCCATCTAAAATCCATATCCAACTGATATGAAAGCTAAGTTCACGTAGTTTAGAAATTGAAAAAAAATGCAAAAATCTAGCTCACTAAATTAGGTCTAGATAATTTTTGTTATGCTTCGTATTTGTTAAGCAGATATATGAGATATTCCGGATAATAATTGTATTATTAACACTTTGAGATACGAGTGAAGGTGATGCACATTACAAACGTTATCGTGGAAACCTATAATAAACATGCACCTGTTAAAACTGTAAGAGTCAATAAGCCGCCATCACCTTAATTAATGAACTGCGCACTGTTCTTGATGAAAAGAATACTGCACAAGCTTTATATAAATCGAATAAGACCGTGGACGCCTATAATAACTTCAAATCGATTGAAAACCGTGCTCTTAACATGATAAGGAGGGATAAAAAGACATATATTGAAAATTTCGCAAATGAAAATGATTCAAAAAAATTGTGGAAGTCTCTCAAACAAATGTATATGGATTTCCGTAGTAAACCAATCCTTCCAGCAAGTTTTAATGACCCTACCAAAATTAATGACTATTTTATATCTGTTTATAGCTACAAACCTGTTGATTCCCTAGTCTGCGAGGACTATTTCAAAAATAAATTCAGCTCTGAATATATTTTTTTCATTGAAAAAGATTAGTTCAAATGACCAATTACAGGCATTGGGAAGCCTAAAATCTGATGCGAAGGGAATTGATGGTATATCCCGTTCTAAACTGGTTAAAAATTAATGACATGGTCAAGTATCACTATTCAGTTTTTGTTCGCAAATAGCTGCTCACGTCTAAACCCTCTTACTTGAGGGGAAAATTTCATTTAATAATGATGTTCACTGTAGAACTCTCAGAGAAAATAATATTAGAATACGTCTACACTTTTTAAGCGCAGTTTTTCTTACAATGTTGCTATTATTTATAATGACCTTCCTAAAGTATATAAAGAATATTCATTACCTGTCTTTCGACAAAAAGTTAAAATATTATTACTAAACCCTCCAAACATATAATTTACGTAATCATTCATTTCTTTTTTATTCCGTCTTTAATTCAGGTTAATAATTTTTTGGTGTACTTGGGTTTGGAAAGTATGCCTTTTTCTTTTTTTAATTTTTACTTTCGATGTAATGAACCCTGTTTGTTGTTTTTCTTTTGAGCGAATGTCGGTCTTCTTCCAACTAGAGTGTAAAGTGAGGCTCAGTTTTCATAATACAAAGAAAATTTGAGCATGTATACAACCCTTTTTTTTCACTGGAGTGTGTTTCCATATCAAATATTCATAAAATATTTCGTTTATAATTCTCTAAGTCAAAGATGGACAATCAGTACGTAAATAAAGGTTTGTAGTCTGCTGTTTGTTTTAAGGATGTGATGGAATTAGACGTTTCTTTTGGAATTATTGTTTTTCGAGATATCATATTTAGCCTAGCATGTAATGTGATTCTAGTAAAACCACCAAAAACATTTTGGTATGCCACAATATGATTAATTATTTCGTCAGTATTATCTGTATTCATGAAAATTTAATGTTACTTATCCCACATCATACACCCAGAGTCTGTACACGAAATAGGGGACACACATTCACGAGGTTAGAGACAAGTTGAAATTTTATTACGAAATAAAAAAAGGGTTTCTAAAAAGAATATCTGAAAAAATATTGCAAACTAAAACAACATTGTATTTGCACTTGACCACTCTCGAAATGTCTGCCTTTGTGAAAAAAGTTCATCACGACATCTTAACAGAAGTTTTTTGAAAAAATCCAGAAATGAAAAGTTCCTTGACATCCCAAAGTTTGGGACATTTACCTTACTTGCAATCGCAACTCCACGATGTAGTGTCATAGTGTAAGAACTTCAATTACATTTTCGAAAGTCAGTGCATTTGTGGCGGTGAAATTAACAACAAGCAAAGCTACTAAAACATCCTCAAACTGAAATTTTATATTTTCTAAGCTAGCGATCATTTAAGTGTAGCATAAAAATTCGCTCCAGAGAAATCACTTACTTACCATTATTATTAAGGTTGGCTGAGTTCCTGTTAGAGTTATCAACGGTTGCTCTGCCAAGCCAGACCCAATCATGCGCGTTGGTGGTGGAGTCACGTGGCTTCCGGAATGGCTTCTCGTGTAACATCGTTATGTTGCTGGGATATTCCGGTAGAGGGCGCACACCTGCAACTACGCCTGCGTCCATTGGCTTGAATTTCGAGGCGTATACCACGCAGGACACCACGAACACCTACGATAAAAACAGTGGTATTTCTAAAACTTAAGTTTCATAATACTCATATTAGGAAGATTCAACCACTGTAAACCTATGCACATCCTCTTGTATTCCCGACAGATGCACCAACTGTTTTAATTACCATGACAGACTGTCTACATCAATTTTTGGAAGCTGCTCCAAACACCAGGACGGATTTGGGCGGAAGGCGCGCCCAAGTCTGATATTTTTCCAAGAAAATGGTATCTGTAGCTGTATCTTGGTATAAAAATAACCTGAATCTCGAGTCGTGCTTCCCAATAGACATATCCTACACCCCGCTTATCATTTGCCACAAAGACATTTGCTCTCAGAAGCGCTGCTTAAGTGCTTAAGTATGCAGCTCTGCCATACCCCCCTCCCCTCCCGCAACCGTTTGTGATGAACATGAAAAATATTATTAAGAAAGAATTGATTAGTGGTACTTACCGCTATGGCACAACAGAAAGCAGCTAATAGGACATACATGCTGATTTCCAATGGAGTTGAATGAGTCAAATTTACTTTTTTGGGAACTCCTTTACCTTGATACTGCCGAGCTTGGACGTTCGGAATTTGAGAGTGAACTCCATCTTTTAAAGAACCTGCAATAAAGAAATTTTCTCAATTAGCTGATGTTTCTCCTTTCCACCCTCTATAACATGTTGGAACGATGGAAGATGGAGTCGTTACATCAGGTTTTCAAAAGAACGGCTTAATGAACGGGGGGGGGGGGGGGGCTAGTTAGGTTGAGAGTCATTTCTAAGATTCACGTCGATAGACGTCAAAACAAGATCAGGTGGTGAAAAATAGCTTATCTTCCTATCAAATCTGTGTGTTTGTTTGTTGAACATTTATTTGGCAATAATGCTACAATGTCAATTTTATATAATTATTCGTTTACACATTTTTTGAATCAATTTTCTGCAATCTTACATTCTAATCTATTAAAATTACATCACCCTGCATTTTAAGTATTCGTCAAGCGATTTTTCAATTTCATCTTAAACATTTTTAAATTCAAACACTGTTAAATAATTTTCCAAATGTCGTGGTATCAAAGGATTTTTTAATCTGATTATGAAAATGAGAAGTAAATTACATATAAATGTTTTTACATTCAACCACTGTAGTTATTCTAACATAGACTTAATCTTAGGCATATTTGTTTTTATTTAAAACGATTCTCATAGCTTTATTTTGTAGAATTTCTAATTTTTAAAATATGTTTCCATTTGCTGTAATCAAGAAGAATTGCAGTGTAATACACATTTTTTGGAATTCATATTGATATTATGGGAAAGTCTATAGTCGTAAAAATAATTATCATTTATATATACTATAATGAATAGTAACAGCCCTAATTTACACCCCTCTGGCACCTCTACGGATTTTTATTTACTAATACTTTTATAAAATATTCAACACTGATCCTTTAAAATCATGGTGATGTAATGATAAATGATTTTACTGTTACAGTACATTTTTTCTCATATATACTTCTCAGTCTTTCACCACCATTTTTATTACTGTTTCTGTGGAATATTTTTTTCTATAAATCCATCTTAATATTGTGTAAAAGTTTTGTTTTCTTCGATGAATTCAGTGATTTGTTCGTATATTGTCCATTCGAAGAGCTTCTCGATATCTGGCAAGACATTAATCGGTCGCTTAATGGTAGAACACTTAAATTTTGATGGGAATCCGCCATGGACTAAATAATGATTCACCAATAATAATAATTTCTCTACAATTATACCGAAACAATAATTTAGAATCTTCATCCCATCTATTTTTGGCAGTTTACCCACAAGAACACAAACGCCACCCAGCGGGAGCAAAATTGAACATCGCTGCCAAGTTTGATGAACCTGTTGAGCATGATCAGTAGGAGTATTATAGAGTAGATGTCAAGTATCATTGACTTCTTAATAGAAATAGACATACCTCCAGCAATATCTTCCATGTCAACAAACTCCCTGCCTTTGCCTCCACTAAAGCTTCCACCATCATTCTGCAGGATGTCCGGTCTGTGTTGCAACTCTCCTTCGCTAAAGTCGACCGTTATCTTAGCAGCTGCCGTTGCCAAAGGACTCGCACTTTTGCCTTTTGGTTTGCCCTGAGATCTACATTCGTCTGCTAACAACAGTGTCACCTGAAATCAATTTTATCGGTGTTTCAACTTTTAACTGTTTAGGTATCACATCTTAGTATTTACAACTTGATATGATTCAAGCATATTTCCGTTTCTCACTTTCGAATAAACTAACCTGTAGTAAATCTCCACTGCCTTCTCCAACGGCGATGACTCGTGGGTGATGTGATGCCACAATTGGAGCAAAAGCCACAATTTCAGGATCCAGGGACTCAACCACTAGGTGGTAGTCAGTGTCAGATATGTCACGTAGCGGTATCTTAGTACCGTCTGAGAATTCTAGTTCGATGTCTAGAAGACCCTCCTATAACAAATAAAAATAAAATACTTAAGTTTCTGCACATGAAAGTGAACAATCGGACATGTTTGCTTTCCGTCTTCCGCAACCATCACCAATCGCAGACAGCGCTGCTTCGGGCTCATTAGCAACTCACCAGAATGGTATAATAGGTCTTAGGTCTAGTCTTAGAGACAGCCGAAACGGAAAGCAAACAAGTGTCTTTTGAAAAACTCAAGACATTGTGCGCTAGTAGGTGAAAAATCTGACGAACGCCAACTACTAATGCTTCGCCAAAGCTGATTTTTCATCATGATCTCGCACGATGAAGACGATAGAGATGCCCTTATGCACTCTAGTTACATGTAGACTTTTGGGCTCCGGTTGACATCCGTCCGGTGTTGACTCATAACACTCTTAAATTCCTACTATAGGAGCAAATGGACATATGGTTTCTGTATATCAAATAAAAACGATTGTACAAACCTGATATTGGGCTGTAAGTTTCCTTGTGATAGCAGTTTCTACAACGTAAACGTTCTCTACGGTAGAGTCAGGAGATATGTTCAGTTGCAAGCCTGATACTACGTCGACTGAAAGTTTTGTTAATGCTACTTTGTCGTTGCCAACTCTTACTTCTTTTGATCCATAAACTCTGCTGGTAATAGGTGATAATACCTGAAAAAGAATCAATGTAATCTAGTACCAGTTTTTCAAAACGTAGTGTATGATGCTTTCGAAAGTCGGATCTCCTTTAGTTTTCGAAACAGGTCAGCGCAAAAACCCATCTGTTACCAGAATCAACCACTGCGAGAACGTACATCAGCTATCAGTTGGAACTGTAAAGATCTCGGTTGCGTTTGATAGCCCAGTCATCCGACCGCAGTCAGCCAAACATAGACAGCTGTTTCGTCCTTTTTGTCAGCTCATCAGAATGGTCTAGGCTTGTTCTCAGGTAGGACACCAAATGAAAGCAAAGAATCTGTCCTCTACCTAAGGAATAAGATCTATCGAATTAAGAAAAAAAGCGCTATCTATCACCAGAATCGATTACAGAATCGATAAGCTATCGGTTGAAACTGTAAAGATCTCAGTTCGCGACTGATAGCACAGTAACCATTGTGACCGCTAGAGGCTGACGATTATGGCGGTATAGTAACTAGAGTTCCTTTAGTTTTCTAACCATTCGGTTTCCTTGTCTTCTAGTAAACGATTAAATATACTGAGTCGACAAATCAAAAAGCGAGTTTATGAAGATGCAAGACACACACCTGTACTTCGGTTCTACCCATACTCCTTCCTTGAAGAATTCTACCATGCAAGCTGGCAATTCTTGGGTCACTGACTCTCAACCAAGGCAGTACCAGTTCGGTGATCCGTAGGCTAGTCCTTCTGTTGATGAGGTAGGTCGTTCTCCCAGATTCGTGATCGGTTGCGAAAAAGTGCGCGTATACGTCGACGGAAGTTTGTTGGTATCTGAAAAGTGTTAATGTGATCTTGCGTACTGATTTTATCGTAATTGAATCTGCAGTATTCCTGAGAAACACCACGCCTATCTAATGTTATTTTCAAGACGGTTTTCGACTAAACAAACAGTTGAGTTTATGTTATGTTTGTATTTTCTAAAACCTGAAAAACAAAAACAAAACTGAAACAGCCCCAAAAGTCTTATTTCCGTCAAGCTTTACATTTTGTTCGAGTTTTGTTTTTGTTTTCGGTCCTTTTCCACTGGTTGTCACGAGGAAGTCACAGCACAGTTTTTCTTCAATAACCAACCAACATGTTCTGAGAAGAAGTTTTTTATTCTTAGTTAAAGCTCGTTGATACTGGTTGATACTGAAGTCCTTGGAAAAAATTAAATGTATATATATATGGCGTCTATAAGAAAACAGCTGTATCTGTAACTTCATGTGTCTATAAACTAGCCAAGTAAACGCATTAACCGTACATATATAATTTATTAATGATTAAAGCAGTATTAGCTTTTAGGGGAAACGGAAAACGCCAACACAGACATTGGGTTGGATCACATTTATCTAGAGAGAGAGAATTAATAAATTATATCCAAAATGATGACAATAGGAAACATCGCCATCATTTCATAATTTTCTGAGAATGTGTTCCTCTGAGTTTTAAGAGCAAATTACATTAAATTGGCAGAAAAGTTGCAAAGTTAAACATAAGCTTTAGAGATTCAATGTATGTTAAAGATCGATTAGCAGTAACACTGAGGTTGCATACGACTAAAAACAAATTTCTTATCTATAAAAAAATATGTTATTTACTTATCTACTAATTTGGTACAACATTCGTATTCAGACTAGCAAGGCGAACATAGAAAACACCACTGACCAGACTCGAGGCTCAAAACACGTCGAAACTTTTTGATCTGACCGCTTCCGAGCCTAACACGAAAAACGAAACACGCCTGTCTTCAAAAAGCTTGCTGAAAGTTATAGTTTTGTTTTATTCGACACGAGTTTGTGTTTGGTTTTTATTTTGCCCGTTTAGAAGAAAACCGCCATGATATTGTTTCAATACCATAATATTAATCATCTAAAACACCATACAAGAGGTGAAAGTTACTTCGGGAATACTACAGGGATCAATTTTGAGACCATTAGTGCATAACTTGTATAAAATACTAACCTGAGACGGCAAACCGGCTTGTCGATAACGTTACCCATATCGTCGTTCCCAGCTGTCATTCCCCATCCGTAAGATCGCTTCTTCCTTTTACGCGTTTTCGTCGTACTGTAAATATATTCACACTATTTTATCGCCAGCCTAAGGACTGTTATTCTTAAAAAAATTGGTATTAAAACCTCGCAACTTGTGGGCTTCGAACCCATGATGTCTGAAACACACAATCACGATGACCATTGTCAAAACGTATCAAGCGTTTTGGGTAAACTACCATCCCGTCGTACATCAGCTAAGTGGTATCATTTTTGCAAATCTATACAGTATACAGGGTGATTCACAAGTCGTGACCAAAAATGAAACATCATATACATAACTGCATTTTAAGGGGGTCTTATATGTAACATTTTTATCCTCGATGGCTTCATTAAAAAGATAGATGTTGAAGTTTAAGAATAAAAAACTATTTTTCAAAATATTTTTAAAGGTAAAATTAAAAAATTGCGCGTTTAAAAAGAAGTGGCGTACTATTTTCAATTGAAAAGATAATGCCACAAATTCCCTGTGTCCCCGCCACTGGTGCAAGTTAATTTTAAGCTAAGGCTTTTGAATCTGGACAATACTAAGGTTAATCCACGTACCAAATTTTAGTTCATTCCAGTTGACGGTTTTGAAGATATAAAAAAAATTGTTCTTTATTTTTAAACTTCAAGAATAATAGAATAATAATTTCAAGTTGTGACTGTAGAATACAAATTATAAAAAAGGTCAAGAATAAGTCACAGGGGATTATGCATTTACTTGATGTTCGCATTTATGAGTTTATAAATTTCAGTCCTAGATATACAGGGTGTTCAAAAATTAGACGAAGATATTTTAGGGGGTGATCCCTTGTTAAAAAAATACGAAAAAAGTTACTATAAACATGGGTCCGAAAATGAATAGTTTTAAGATAAATAAAAAAAATCAATATCTTAAAAATATTTACTCGATTCTGTTGAAATTTGGCAATATCATTTGCTGTGTAAAGAGGCTAATTTAGCCCTAAACAGTTTAAAATTATTAGGTCCAGTGGCGTACCGGGGGGCACCTTAGCGAATATTATTGACAAAAAACTGTACGCCACTGCCTTTTTGTAACTTACATGTTTGTTGTTTGATTGAGCATCTAAAAATACATCTTCTTTGCGTCTTGTATTTTTTTCGTATCTCACTTCATTTTCGAGAACAAAAATAAAAACCGTTTTATTGCATGTGACTGGACAAAATTGGTTTATTAATTTTTGTACAAAAAAACATTTCTGTATGGAGGTTTGAAATTCGTGCGACAGCCCTTCTCTAGAAAAGAATTATTCACGTAATCTTATTTGCGAAATTTCTATAAAGAGTTTAGATTTTTCCATATTTTTAACAAATAATCACCCTCCTAAATATATCCGACTATTTTTCGAACACCCTGTAGAATGTAGTCATTTCAAATTTCTCTTGAAGTAATTTTCGAAATATAAATCTTTTAAATCTTTAGGTATAATATCATAAAATTTTGGCGCTAAATAGAGATATGATCGATGTATTATAGATGTATGTCGCTGAAGAGCTACTGTTCCACGAATTTGTCCCTTGTATATGTTTTATTTTTTGGTCGGTGATAATGTTTCAGTTGTTTGAGCTTCCTTACGAAGATCTGGGCTTTTCATATTCTGGAGAGAATGGAGAAATATTTGTACAGCGGCATGACACATAGCGCTTAGTGCGCTTCGTCACAGGTCACCGTGCTTCAGTGATTGAAGGACCCGCCTAGTATTTCGATATCGTGGATTTGTAGTCTTTGGGTTTTTTAATTTAGATTTAACAATAACTCTTAAATAAGTATATCATTACCTAGGATGGTAATCAGGTACTCTCCAAGACTTGAGTTGTGATAGTCTTGTATCAGCCACAGCCAGTTCCAAAGGAAATTCGGGCATCCACACGATGAATTTGGCAATCCCTGTGTAGGTGCCGTACTTCACTATAACCGAACCATTTATCGAACCTCGAGCTTCGCTGCCGTCCACGTATACTGATCCACAAGATGATGATACCTAAAAAAAAAATATCCAGTTAAGTAGGTTGACACACGTACTGATAATCCACCATGTTTGACTGGTCGAATCAGACCACATACAGGGTGTTCATTTGGAACCCTCTCACCACGGATTTATCGAAACCACTGACTTAAAGAAAAAACGCCGAGACACGTTAAAAGATTTGTCGATGGGGACAACTTTTTAACCAAAAACTACCTCACCCCATTTCACCCTCTGCCCCCAGGGTCCTCCCCTTAAAAAGTTTAAATGACAAAGGGTATCGAGTAAAAGCTTATTTGAAAGGTCTTTAGAAGTCCTTTATTTTGACGTTTGATTTTTCAAAATCGGTTGATTCGTTATCAAGAAAATTAGAAAAATCTTTACCTCTATTTGTTCAGATCGAATCACTTTTTATTTTAATAGGTGTTCAAAATGTTGCCCGTTATTCTCCAAAGAATGATATAGGCGATGTTCAAATTCCTGACGGACACAATACATTTCAAATGGCTCCATAGAAAAAAGTCTAATGACGCCAAATCAGGAGATCCAGCAGGCCATTCTATAGGTCCCCTTCGCCCTATCCATTTATCTGGAAACTCGTCGTCTACCATTGCCGAACCGGAAAAACATAGTGAGGAGGAGCGCCGTCTTGCTGGAAATATATTTCAGTCTCATCAAGTATAGGGTTTCCATCCTCTGCGATTTGGTTTTCAATGGTTTCAGTGATAAGCGATTTGATGGTATTTTAAAACATATCCAAATAAATGTCTCCATTCAAATTTCCATTAATAAACAATGGCCCAATCACTTTGTTTCCTAAAATGCCTGCCCATTACATTTTTGGGGGTACCTACTGGGTGTGTCCTTCTACAAATGCATGACGATTTTCATTTCTCCAATATTTGCTGTTATGCTTATTAACAAATCCATTTAGATAAAATGTGCATTCATCACTGAAGCAGATATTCTTTACACGAATGGTATTATCATTAATCGCTGCAGCCATTTGTTCACAAAACTCAACTCGTCTATCGAATCATCTTCGGTTAACTCCTGCAATATTTTCATTTTGAATGGATGAAATTTATGGAGTTAAGTAACTGTGTGCACAAAACCTAATGAAATACCAGTCGCAGCAACAATTTTGCGTAATGAAGTATTAGGATTTATTCCAAAATGACTTGAGCGGCTTCATCTAAAACTCTCCGATGATCACGTTTTTTATTTGCAACAGATCCAGTTTGAGTAAATTTAGTAACAAGGTCCAAAACATACCATACCAAAATTGTCACAAGGATAACTGACAGCAAATTGAATTCTTTCTTTCCCTTAGCAACAAATAACTAAACAGGTATAACAATAAATACAGTTCGTCCAGGATATCTGTGTTGATGAAAAGAATGCGGAAAAAAATTCGGGTTTTATTTGTTTGTCGCCACGTTTAATCTTCCGAATTGCTGTTTATGTTGGTAGTTTCCGTTTAAAATTATAAGCGAATTGTATATTTGACAAACCCCGACGGGCAACATTTTGAACACTTATTGAAATAAGACGTGATATTTTCGTGTATTTCGTTTGAAAAAATTTAGATAAATAAAGATTTTTCTAATTTTCTCAAAAACGAATCGACCGATTTTAAAAAACCAAACGTCAAAATAAAGAACTTCAAATGTCCTTTCAAACAAGTTATTACTCAATACCCCTTGTCATCTAAAAATTTTAAAGGAATGACCTTGGGGGCCGAGGCTGAAAGGGGGTGAAGTAGTTTTTGGTTGAAAAGTTGTCACCTTGTCAAATCTTTTGACGTGTCTCGGCGTTTTTTCTTTTAATGAGTGGTTTTCGATAAATCCGTGGTGGGACGTTTTCAAATGTTCAAAATTCCTCACCTGCTCAGCAGATTCGAGAAACAAACAATACGATTTCGAATAAGATTTGCATCTACTCCTGAGGTTTGTAACATGAAAAGCAATGATGAATGAAATTGAGCATTTACAAAAAAAATTATACTACATCTTAATAAGGCGGTGAATTTGAGAACGCAAAATATAGTCTAGTAGGTATATGTTATATATTTTTGAACCGACCCCTGCAAAAAATATCCATTTGGGCTCAAAAATCGTACCTCAAATTAAAGGTTCGGAAATCTGTTTTTATTATTTGCTGGTAATTCCCATAAAAGTGAGATTTGGTAATCTATGTGTCTCAATACTTTTCTTGCATGGGAGGGGAGGTAAAAAAGATCACATGGGAAATGTTATGAATGTACATTTATAAAAATAATCTCTTACCTTTAGAACACTCTCATCTTCCGAATGACAAGATGCCTGAAAAGTAACGTCCGCCGCTTTTCCCGCTTGAGATACGATGAATACTTTCATTGCTTGAGACACTTGCAGACCTGTCAGTACAGCTGTGTTCATTACTTCCCAATTCTAAAAGAAAATAAGTCAAACTATCAAATACTTGATATCAAAGATTAATTTCATCAAATGTTTAGCGTAATTTATACTTGCGATTACATATTTCTTAAAAGAATCTTTTTTTATACCACTAAAAAAAAAAAAACTAGAAACATTTTTTCGATCGGAAATATGCCGCATTATGCTCCTTAACCTTTAAACGATATTTGAGAACTTGGGAGCTTCAACATCATATAAGACGAAATATTTCCAATCGGAAAAATATTTGATTTTAATTTTATTTAAATCGTCATTTTGCGGTGACATCCACATTGGATTTAGGATGACGCCGTTTTGCTTATTCGTTTTTCCTCCTCTAGACCTTTCGCCATTACTATGAAAATGACAAATCGCCATTTTGTATCATCCGCTATATCGGATTCAAAAAGCGTGTATATTAAATTTCAGCTCAATTGGTTAAGGTCAAAATTCAGTTCCAAGATTTGTCCCACACATACGAGCCCCTTCCCACTTCAGTTGTCCCAACTATTGAAATCTTATTTTTTTTCTTATCAAACACAAATAATAAAAATGTAGCAGGGTGTTATAGGTTTAAAATATTAACAATGAATATTTTGATAATATATAGTAGAAAACACCAACTTTATCACTCCCTAATCAAATTTGCAGCATAAAAATATCACATGTTGCAATTACAGCATATAAACCTATTTTCATTTCAATGCAAAATATGTCTATAACGCATAGGTGGCTGTGAAAAATAAAAGCCATGATAATTGTTTTTATTAATCACAGCTGTCAGAATACGTTTAAAATAGTTTTGGGTAGTTGAGGTTCGCAAAATGGGTAGAGGAAAGGTTATTAGTGAGAAAATTCGGTTACTGATAATTAATTTTTTTAATTCTGGGAAATCAAACTCAGAAATTGCAACTTTGTTAGACTTATCGCGGTACAGTGTGAGAAATATTGTTAGAAGATTAACGTAACTGGTTTAGTTAATATTAAGCCACGATATGTGAAAAAAAGTAATATCACAAATGCCGACCGAAGAGCATTAAGAAGAATAATCGTGAAAAACAGGCGTGCCAATTATTTACAATTAAGTGCTCTGTGGAGTGACGCTGTTGGAAGGAGAATTTCGAGGTCCACAACTCATAGAGAGGCCCACAAACTGGGATTTAGCACATGCAAGGTAAGTTTTCTTATAAAAAAAAAGTGAAGTAAAAACCCTAAAGCTGCACAACTTGTTTATAGGCCAAAGAAAAGCCACTATTAACTCCACTGCAAAAGAAAAATCGGCTTAGATGGGCTAAAGAACATAAACAATGGACACCTCAACAATGGTGTGGAATACAATGGAGTGATGAGGCCAGATTCGAAGTTTGTGTTGGTGACAGTCGCAGTAGAGTTATTCGCAAAAAAAATCAAGCATTACATGTTGACTGTCTGAAGAGAAAAGTGAAATTTCCAGCATCCATTATGGTCTGGGGCAGTATGTCATCAAAAAGAGTAGGAAAACTTCATTTTATTGATGGAAATGTGTATACAAACAAATATTTGTCAATTTTAGAAGAATCGCTTTTACCCTTGAAGGAAGAAGGTTTGATATCCGGCCAAGATTTTGTGTTTCAGCAAGATGGTGCAGCGTGCCATACCTCAAAAAAGGCTATAAAATGGATGGAAGAAAATAATGTACTACTTTTGAAATGGGTTTCTAGCAGTCCAGATCTGTCACCTATTGAAACTTTGTGGCACGAGATGAAAAAGGTTCTACGACAACATCCTGCTCGTACAATCACCGAACTGAGACAAAAGCTTCAAGAAATATGGGATTATTTTACACCAAATTTTTGACAAAACTTGGTTAACACTATGCCCCAAAGAATTTCAGCGGTAATAAAAAATAAAGGTGATGTTACCCAATGGTAATCTTTCAATTGTTGCTTTGTTAACTTCGCGCATTTATTCGCACATTGTTTATTTGTTCAGATGCTCCATTAGTTATAGGTCTAAGTGATTTCAAATATGTATTTTTTACGACTAGAGTGTATCTAAAATGTATTTGAGAAAATAAATTGTTTTAGAAGTAAATAGTTTCGTCATGTTTAGTTTATAAGGGCATATTTTGGTACAAATCTTGAAGTGGACCAACTGAAGTACATACAATCTGACTTTTTATTGATTCGGCGCTATAAGCAGCCAGTGTTGGACGACTTAAATATAATTACCAACCTTGCTGATAGGAACAACGGCCTGGATGTCATCCTTCTGAATTTCGAACCACGTGGTAGATTTCCTGCCTTCAGTTTTGTGCGAGTCCACAATGTCAATATCGTCCTGGTGAGGTTCGAACCTCGCCGTCCACACGATTTTGCTGCCATCGTAGCTCTCGATTGCGTCTTCGGTTATTTCTATCAGCCAGGTGAATAGCTCCGTACCACTGAAATTATCGTGATGTTCGTTCAATGAGCTATTAAGAGCTAAATTCTAATCATATGATAAATTTTCTGCATTTTGTATTGCAGGAAAGGTAATCAGCTAAGGTCACTGCGTTCATATTCCATTGGCTCTCTTGCACACTACCTCAGATGATACGACCCAATGGAGTTTCCCCTTATGTGGCCCATAGGAGACCAACATTCCTCCAGAATGAACTATCGTATTGTTAGGACAGTTAGACAGTAGCAAGGCAAGAGTTCAAGTGTCTTATGTTGTTGTTCACATCCTCTACATAAGGATGTGATCCTGTCTCTTATTATAGAGGTACTTCCCTAGTTAACAGTGCCCAGTCACAATGCCAGTAGCAAATCGATTATGTTATTTTCAGGACATAGACAGATAGTATTTCGCTATTTTATTACTAGGATATCTGAGGAAGGTCTACAATCAGTGGCCAGAGGATAATCATGAAATTCAGAGGAACTTAAAATGGCCAGGAATAGACAAAGCACGATTAATGTAATTTTGTCTCAGATCATACAATTTTGTTATTTGAATTCTAAGGCATGTGTGTGAGTGTGTACATAATTGATACTCACTATTCTGCAGCATCAGTTGTATCAGGGTCAGGGGGCTCTTTTCTTACTAAGGTCACAATTGCGCTGGTATGACGTGGATTCAGTTCAACTGTAATGTTCCAAGATGTTGAACCTGATGGTACTGCTTCCAAAATTCTCACTCCGCTTTTGACTCTGGCCCTAAAAAGAAAATAAAAATATGCTAGGAAAAATGACAACGATTTTTGAAAGACAGATGTTATGTATTTAGTGTAAACATTTATTGACGCCCAAAATGCAATAAATACAAAATTTCACGACAGCCCATCGAGTAAGACTAACATTCAGAGTAGGCATTAGGTAGTATATCGCCTCCGGCAGGGGTATTATGTAAAAAACGTTAAACACCGTCAAAAAGTCATCTTGCAGACTAGGTAGCTTTTAGTGTGCAAATAAATAATTCCACGTTTGCTCGCTATGATCGCTGAGAGCGTCATCCAAAACATCCATCTATGGAGGAATGATTGAACCACACGACTTGCATTGTTGGTTGCAGACAGCCGAGTAATATGTAGTGTTTATCTATGAGAAAGTGTAAAAGAAAGAAGATGGGTAGCAAGATCGCATCTGGATACTTATGTGTATTGGGCTGCATGTGTATAAAATCAGTGGTATTTGCTATGTGAGAAAATTATAATTGAATATGCCAATGAAGTATATCTATTAGCTGTGCCTGAAGGGTTATTAATATGTTGTTCTTACTGAAGAGCGGTTAGCCAATAGTAGTAACTTTTTTACGTTTCATAGATATTTTTGTCTGTAACATATTTTCTCACCTGTTACTTGTAATATACTTGTACTTCACCAACCAGGGATTTTCTTTTCTTATGTTATTTTTGAAATTCAGCAAGTTTGTATATGTAATTTCCAGAATAAATAAGAAAAAGTGGATGCGCAACTAATTTCTAGCTACAACAGCTAGTGCTAAGTTAACATCTGATAGAAAAACTTATGCTATGTCACAAAAAACCTACAAAATGTCAAAAAATTTCAAAATGTCACTTTTCAAGATATGCAATAGCCATGCGGCACGGGTATTACGGAGCTTGAAAAGTGACATTATGTCGATTGTTTTTGACATTATATTGGTTCTTTTTGTGATATTATGTAGGTTTTTCTACAAGATGTTGTGAACTCGTTTTGGAGTTGTACGTGTTGCCTAAACGTCATGATGCTTCAGTTATGAATGTTTGGCTCTGATGTGATGTAAAATCTGCTTCAGAGTTGTCATTGTTGAAGGTCTAAGCTGTACGTTGTACACTATAGCTAGAAGGAAACGCCAGTGCATAGGTGCACACCAAAGATTTGTGTGCTAATAATATGTGTTGATGATAATTCCCTTGGTTTCTTGTCTCAAATACACTTACTTTTTTCTTATTCATTCTGGAAATTACATATGCAAATTTGCTGAATTCCAAAAATGAGAGAGATAAGAAAAGAAAATCCCTGGTTGGTGAAGGAACAGGTGAGAAAATATGCTCCTTATAGGAGCTACAGTGCCCCAGTATTTAGACATCTGCCTACGCAGTTGTTCGGTATATAAAATCAATAATTCAAAAACAATTATTGAAGTCATTTTCCGAGCACTTACCTGATGACAATGGCTGTGAGCATTTTAGCCTTTTGACGATCTACGTAAACGGGAAGGTGCATTTTTGAGAGTGGAAATAATGGTGGATGCGGTACCAGAAGAGCAATAGCATCAGTTAAACGTAGTTCCTTGTATGTCCCTCTGGCGGGTACCAAAGGCACACTCCCTAGAACCACAGATGGCTGGACCTGCGAAAATATCGAAGTGTGGAAGATCATCTTAAACTTTAGAGGGTGGAAAATCCGAATTCATTTAACGTATGGAGAGAGAGAATAAGATGGCGACATCTGAACTACATATTATAGAACATAAAATAATCTCACATATTTTTCCAGATAAATCTCCTACGAGGCTCTAGGCCCGATTTTACAAATGAGAAAAAATATACGATTTGTGTGAGACAATCAAGAAATACTCCATTTATCACATGATTCAGCTACAACAACCTATTTTTCATTTGTGTCCGGACACAAAAATTGACGCAAATTCAATCAATCGAAAAGGATTTGTGGCGTACCCGAAACATAGATAGACCTGATACAATAGATTGACATGACGCTGTAAAATTCTTCTTGATAAATTCTTTGTGGGCATAAATCAAATTACAGAATAATTATTCACCAACAAACAAACAGAAACTAATCAATTTACTTACCTAGTGTTAACACGAATATGTCGCGCACTCTACTGGACGGTAGGACGTCTATACGACCACGTTGCGTTGCGATCACGGTGACAAGACTAGAAGTAGTTGTCCTACTGCCCAGTAGAGAGCACAATAATTTCCTATTAACAGTGCCTTTACTGGGCAATAATACGACATCTACTTCTAGCCTTGTCACCGTCACCGCGACCTAGAGTGGTTGTATAGTCATCCTTCCCTCAAGTATAGTGCGAGATATATTCCTGTTAAAAGTAAGTAAATTGATTAGTTACTCGATGTGTGTAAGTATGCTGTAATTTTATTTATGCCCCATAAGAATGTATCAAGCAGAATTTTGTACCGCAACAGTGATACACTCTTATTTTCAATAAAATGCAAATTTAATTGCTCTTATATTAATCTAGATATTCTGTCAGATTTGTGCCCCGGCTTGGAGTACCGCCCAAATGCTTATTTTTCAATGGTGCATTATGAGATGATGGCCGCTAGTTTAGTGTCCGAAAGCAAGTGAAAGAATCAGTTTTTATAGATAAACCAAGTATTTCTTGATTTAAAATGGGAATTGGGTGCTCATCTAACACAAATCGTATAATTTTTCTCCAGTTTGAGAGACAGAAATCAACTATATTCTTTAGATCAATTATTTCAAAGATGCCTTCTCATTGTTAAATTTTTTTGAGCCCGGCTAATGACGCTACTGGAAATCGGTTTTTCTTGGGGGCTCACATGATTTAGGGCATTTTTATGGGGACTTGAATATAGTATGGAGGGTTTAAATTTTGCTAACAAGGGAAGACGCGATATCTTTTGATATGTGCTGCTACAGTTTTGCTGTTGCTCTTTGTGGTATCCATGCTGCTGGTCCTCCTGATCCAACTGGTGATACCGCTTTTTTTCAATGACCGCAAAATTTCCCCACGCCCATCCTCTCCAACGGCGTATCCAGGATTTGTGCCTGCGAGGGGGTCACACTTACACCGGTCAAAAAATTTCATGTTCAGGAAGATGACGTTCTTCTCGTCTTCGGGGGGGGGGTACATCAGTGCCTCTGACATAAAAGAAAAACTTGACTGGCGGAACGATGGCAGATGACAACCCTACCCTTGTACCCTTAGCGTAAATCTAATTTAAAAATGAACAATTTATTGTTAAATAATAAAATTAATTCTTCTTTTTTGTCTTCCTGCGAATCGATTAATATTAATACGTATACTTACCATCTCCTTTGAATCCAGTGCAACAACTTTTTTGTGGTTATGTCCATCAGTGGGGGATTTAAGAAATGGCGGCAAAATGGACATTACCGCCTGGGCCTCCCTAAGAAGGGTGGTCACAGCCCCCCCCGCAAAAATCAGCTCTAGTGTCTATATTGTTCAGCGCGTCTGAATGTAAAATTGATAACAAGAAATCAGAGTGTTGTTATATTCTTTTAATGACCATTTGCGTAATTTTTATGAAACAGCGTGTTAGCATTCAGTTTGAATAAGAAAATTTCCCTTTCATTTCTTAAGACATTTTTTGAAAAATTTCCGAATGACCCTTTATTTCTCAAGGAGTAGAGTGGTTATTTTTTCATTTTGTGCTTACAGTGATATATTATTACCTATAATGTTCAGTAAATAAATATCTCCGTGGTATGAATCAGCCTCTTTCAGTCTAATAAATACTCTAATGCGTCTATTACAGTCTTTTCACGTCTTCAGTGCTTATAACCATAAACTTTCACAATGATGTGAATTTTTTTATTTGATGAAATATCTATTTTCTTCGTGATAATATCGTGGAATAAATTTTTTGAATGAATTATCAATTGCATAGAAGAGGAAATTTCAAGAGTAGGAGATTCTGGCGAAGATATAATGAATGCAAGATCTCTCCTTTCCTCCATGAACTGGAGCTTTTTCGTCAATTTGTTATGGTGGCATTCAGTATCGAGCGTAATGAATACTGTGTAAGTTCAAATGCAAAAGAAAGAAATAGACTTGATGATGGCTCAAAGGTGCATTTCAGCAGCATTAAAGAAATTAAAAGATTTGAGGAGCGAAAGCACAAACGATAATTTTGTTCTGAAGGTTAAGAATAAACGGGAAGAGATGGAATGGGAATCCCATTGTCAGAAAAAGGAAAATCAAAAAAATGTTCGACGAAAAAGCTGCTGACACACCACTGGAAACACACGAAAAACATCGAATAAGTTACTACGAAGTTTTGGATTCAATGAGTAATGAATTGCAAGAACGTACTGAAGGATTTCGTGAAGTGAATGATGTGTTTGGTTTTTTGACGCCAGAGAAATTAGTCAATCTAAAAGAAAACGAATTGGAAACAAGCGTCACTAATTTGGTAGACAAATATTCGGAATTCTTCACTACAGATCTAAGATATGAATTAGCCAGTTTTACGTGCTTGTATTTTTCGCAAAATCGTAATTTTACTAATGACAGCCCGCTAGATTATTTGAAGTTCATGATTGCAAACAATTTTATAGACAGTTTTTCAGAGAGCTGCAGATTATTCAGATTGTTTTTGACTTTGCCTATCGGTTCAGCTAGTGCTGAACGTGTCATGAGCTCTTTGAAAATTAATAATGACATACTCAGCAACTTCTCTATCCTCTATATCGAAAGATCAGTAGCTAATACACTCAATTTGGATTCTGCGATGGAAATTTTTGATCTCACAGTCTCCACTTGATTCAGGTTATATAGACATATAGTGAAAAAACAGAGGTAACAGTGCGCAGCAGCTACTATTGTGCATATAATTATAAGCCCCTGTTAATATCTGACATCCTTATTGCCACCAAAATCTGTAGTTCGAACTTTATCTGAATAATTTAAAGGGATAACTCGTTATCGAATAATTTTAGATCGGCGTGAATATTGAAACAGTTGAATTAGCTGTTATATTGACACGTTGAAGCAGCATCAGATTAACTTTTTGCATCAAATTACTATTAAAAAACCTTTTGCACTATCCATGAGCTTGTTTCGGTTACTTGTGCAGGTCTTTCTAATATTTTTATTCTCTGTTGCCGTCATTAATTTGCAAATAGCGATAAATGTGGAGAATACCACTTTCGCAAATAGTATCCAGTATATATCATGTAGTAACGTACGTTATTTAACGTATTTTAGTATTCTATCGATCATATTTGTTTTTTTTCGTAATTATAATATTATGCAAATTCTATAAATAGCGTGCACTCCTTTTACTCGACGCCCTTTACTTATCGGTAGCATCCGTGATAACTTTTAAACTCTATTATGCACAAGAAGTTTGCTGGTGAATCAGCAAGTTTAATTTACTTCAAAAAATTACGATGCGCATGACAACCTGTCCCGTGCCCGTGCCCACTATTAAATGCAAAAACCAGGCTGATGTACGATTGCAGTATCCTAACATTACGCATTAAATTTTGATATTAATTTCTGAGTTATCATTCGACTTTCAAAGTTTCCATTGCCGTAAAACAGTTATAGTGCCGTCTGCCCCCGATCATACCACTGGGCTCCCCCAGTGCATATTGCCGACCGGGCCCTTTTCCTTAAATCCGCCACTGGTACGTCAAAAAGTATTTTTTATCAAATTTGCTCACAGCTTGAGCGCGCGCGAAGAAGTTTTTCCTTCATCAAGCTTACCGCATAAGCAACCATTCTTGCGCTATCATCTATGAGCTTACAGTTAAATCAAAGTTGACGGATGCAGTGCTGCAAGTGTTTAGTAGAAAATACCAGTACAACATCCATTTAATATGTGTGCATTGATTTGATTTGTAACTTTAAAAATTGGTGGTCGAACTAAATTCGTCTGGGGAGGTCACGAACCCCAAGACCCCCCCCTGGATCGGCGCCTGTCCTCTACTAGCTTGTATCATTATTCTGGTGTGTGCTATATGTATTCGAGAGATTGTCAACCTATTCTGGGACACACTATATTTTATATAGGCATTTTTGCTTCAAGGTTCATACCTGGACTTTCGGATGACACCCTTCGCCTTCATCTGGCCATGGCTCTAGGACCGAGTAGGCAATCTGGACCAGTCGAGGTGGTGTCTTGACCAGCTTTCCTACTACGCCCTCTTTATTAGGTGATGGAAGCGGTGGCCACCAAGAGGATGGAACTGTTACCTGTAAAATATAATAGTCTAATCATATTACACGAAAATACCCCGGGTTGGCGAAATAATTGTAAAGTCTGATTTTATTGCTGCAAGTTGTTCAAGGGGGTATTCAAAACATGGACGCATAAAATGGGTACACCAATTTTTGTGAGAAAACTTTTTATTCGACAACAAAGAATGAGAAAACGTGTTTTTTGGGATTCAATCAAAAGTATTGGCAGGAACGAAAAAACTGTTTATATAAGATTTTTAGGTATTTACGAGACCTACAAAATGAGATAACACGTAAAAAGATCCCACTAATAGCAAAAAAGTTATAGCCCAAAACCGAGGCAAACTGTACGCTTTGGCGCTTGTTGGTAATGCGACGATGGTTTCTCGATATTTGAAATTCTTTAAATTCGTAGAATTCGTACTTTTTAATAACCACAAAAAAATTGGAGTAGATTGGTCAAGTAGTTTTTGAGGATATCTAATTGTTTATCCCAAAACACCTGTTTTACGGCCATCACAACTAGTTTATTGAGCAATATACAGGGTTAGTTCAAAGAACATTTTATAGAAAAATACACCAGTTTACGTTGCCGATATGAATCGCAAACCATTCCATAAGACAAATGTTATTTTTATGTGAAAAAGGATGGGTTACGTTTTTTCTTCTAAACAAATTCAAACATTTCTTATTTGTGAGTAATTCACAACAAAAGATGATAGGCGCATCCGCTTTGTTTCAAAATGTATGTTTTTCGAATATCGTAGCGCATTTGTTCAATTACTCACAAATATGAAATGTTTGAATTTGTTTAGAAGAAAAAAACCTTACCCTTGTTTTCCGCATAAAATAACATTTATCTTTCGGAATGGTTTGTGATTCATATCGGCAAGGTAAACACGTGTAATTTGCTATTAAATGCTCTTTGAGCGGATCCTGTATATTGCTCAATAAATTAGTAGTAATGGCCGGAAAACAGGTGTTTTGGAATAAACAATTACAAATTCTCAAAAAACTACTTGACCAATATAATCTAATTTTGTTGTTGTTATTTGGAAGTATGAATTCTACGGATTTAAAAAATTTCAAGTAGTTGCGTGAAATTATCGTCGCATTACCAATAAATGCCAAAACCTGAATTTGCCTCGTTTTTCAGCCATAACATTTTTGCTATTGTCGGATCTTTTTAGATGTGGTCTCATTTTGTAGGTCTCATAAATACCTAAATATCTTATGTAAAAAGTTTTTTCGTTCCTGCAAACACTTTGGACTGAATCCCAAAAAACACGTTTTATATACTCATAATGACTTATTGGTCTGCTTTTCAAGACTCTATATGGCACATACCGACAAACATTTCTTTTGACGAAAACTGTTACCTCGTGACAAGTATTTGAAAGTAAACCAGGAGGAGATGTTGCTGCAGAATATTACATCATCAAACTCAGGAAGGGCATGGAGGCAACAAATGGACTGATTTGCTACGATTTTAAGGTCAGAGTGATCGCTACCACTAGAAAGCCGAAGAAAGGTGCTATAGAGACCCTACACTGCACTATGAAGAGTACGATCAACGATACCATTTACCGCATCATCAAGCCTTCCTCACAAACTTGCACCGTTCAGGAAATGCACGCACTGCCAGTATCGGAGCAGTAATTAGAAAACTAGAAAACCCCATGGACATCTAGTGACAGCAGAAAGGAGCGATTTGGAGCAACCAAAGAGGAACACCAATACTTGTTCCTGCTACCCAAATACTCGGACACTGCGTTCCCGAAGACTTGAATGCGCCATGCATTTCAAGAAGATTCTTGGAGTCGTTCGGACCTTTTGAAGAACGGCATAGATCACTAAGATCCCCCATCTATCAAGGCTACGCCAAAGCAAATATCAAATTCAAATTCCTTTATTTTCCTCCTGTAGATCTTATAAAATATATAGGAATGGTCAATACAAACTTAAAACTAGGAACAAAATAGTAGTAAATCAATAGCAAAACATGACATGACAACAAAACAAATTTTATACAAATAAAACATTAAAAATGCCTTCCAGAGAAGAACTCATCAATAGTATAAAAACACTGATCAAGCAGAAACCTTCTCAAATTTTGACTTCACGTTTTTTTGTGACTCTACCATATATGGAAGACTATTGAAAAAAAATATGTCTAAGTAATTTGAGAGATTTTTCTGTATTGATAGTTATAAATAGATAAATTTAATTGACTGTTTATTCTGGCACATTCTACGTGTCAATATCACTCTTTACAATACATGAATGGCTATTTCTAATATATAAAAAGTCAATGTCAGTAATCCAGAATTTTCAAATAGCTCTCTACAAGAGTGGTGGTTACAAACATTTTCAAAACTTTTTTTTGAGATACAAACTCTTCATTTAGTATTCGTTATCTAGATTAGATGGTTCAACTGCTTCAGCAGAGAAGTGAAAAGAATAATTGGAGAAAAACACTTACAGCCCATTTGCTATTCGAAGTTGTTCATTGAATAATAAGTGTGTCAACGTCTTCCTCAATTTGCAGCATTCGGTTGTGTTCTGGTCTTCTACTATATCCACCTCGCTATTCCTTTGTACGAAATAAACCTACTCGGCGCGGGATGGAAACCTCCAGAATATACTCGCGAAGCAAAAACAGTGTCTTGAAGACACTGACCGTAAAATAACATCATCTCGGCAATTTTCGTACTTCTATAGGAATGTGCCATTTGCGGATTTCTAAAATCCGATTTATAAACAACCAGCTCGGTTTACCTACATGGCACGTGTCACCTGGGTTAGGTACTGACAAGCGTCGTATCTTTTCACATCTGCTGGAACCATGAACGGATTTGACATCGCACATTTCTTCGGGACCCCATTAGGAAAATATGATTATTCTTACAAGAACTATACGCTGTATGAAGAAAGGTCCCAACTTTAAGAAAACCTTGTATAACATTCACCTCAGCCAAGCAGACTCCATCCTCTCCATCGGGACTGCAAGCGGCATGTAGTGGTGTCTTGCCCTGCATGGACGCCCTGAGTACCACGCACACCTTCTGGTGGTGCCTGGCGAGCAGTACCTGCCTCCTGCCGCCCGGGTCGGTGCCAGCATGGAAGAGTACCCTCAGCACCGGGGAGTCCCGTGGGACTTCGCTGCGGACGATGTGGGCAGAGATGTCCAGGTGGTGCGCCGAGTGGTCGTGGAGATCGATCGTCGGACCTGTAAAAATTCATGGCATAAGGAAGAACATCATGTAGAGATCTGTTCCAGAGATTCAGAGTACCAGCACTTACTGGCTTATACAGGGTGTTTCAGAACTATGGGATCGAACTTGTAGGGGTTATTCAGTGTAACAGTAGAAAATATTTGAGTTAAGGGCCCCATATCCGGCGCTTGTGTGTTGTTATCTTTAAAAACGATAACAGATATTGTTTTTTGTAGCTGCATTCCATATCGCCTTAGTCGTGCTGACGTATTTGTGAAGTTTGCAAGAATTTAACAAAAATTAATGGTTGCTAATGGAAAACTTTACCAATCAAGAATTGGCAGATATCCATTTGGCATACGGAGCAACAAGCTGCAATGCACGAGCAGCAGCGCGGTTGTATCAAGAACGTTATCCCGAACGACAGTATCCGGGATACAAAAAGTTTATTGCTATTCATCGGCGGCTCTCCGAGACAGGCATGTTTAAAAACAACATGCATGATACTGGTGTTGCTCTAACCGTAAGAACGGTCGAATTTGAAGAAGAGGTCCTTTAGCGAGTTGCAGACGAACCGTCAAGTAGCACACGTCACATTGCTGATGATATGAACACGAGTACAGCTTCCGTCTGGCGGGTGCTAGGGAGCAACAACTTTATCCTTACCACTTCCAGAAAGTTCAAGGATTGACTGCAGCCCATTATCATCATTCAATTTTATCAATGGCTTCTTCATCAAATCGCTGCCCAACCAAATTTTTTACGCTGTTTTATGGACCGATGAAGCCTCTTTCACAAGAGACGGTATTTTTAATAGTAGCAATAGCCACGTTTGGGACAAATAAAACACCCACGCAATTTTTCCAAGAAAACATCAGCAACGTTGGTCTGTCAACGTATGGGCAGGCATTGTTGATGATTATTTAATTGGGCCATACCTTCTACCGGAACGGTTAACAGGACCTATTTACCGGCGTTTCTTGCAGGAAGTTATTTTAGAACTTCTTGAAAATATTCCATTGAATGTGGTTTCAGCATGATGGAGCGCCGGCTCACTTTGCTGTACAAGTACATGAGTATTTGGCTCAGCGGTTTCGGCACCGTTGGATTGCCAGAGGTGGAGCAGTTTCTTGGCCTCCTAGGTCACCCGATTTAACGTTGCTAGTTTTTTTCCTGTGGGGACATGTAAAGGCTTTGGTTTACGAAGCTCCAGTAGAAACAAATCAAGACTTAATTGGATGAATTACAGCAGCATTTGAAATCATTCAAAACGAGTATCAAATTTTTTGTCCGCCGAAATCATGTGCGACGTTTAAATCGGTGTATTCAGATTGGAGGAAGACATTTTGAACGATTGTTGTGATGATATCACGTACAAAAGGCAAACATTAAATGCATTAAATCCTATTTAGGCAATTCATCGTCTTTCTAAATTTTAACGCGTCTTAGGGCCGTAGTGCCGTAGTGACACTTTTCCGGATATGGGTCCCTATACTCAAATTTTTTCTACTGTTACACTGAATAACCCCTAGAAGTTTTATCCCTTAGTTCACACCCTGTATAGATATATTGGAAACTTGTTTATACATATTTGAAAATAGAGAAACATTAAATTAAACGCATTAAATGAATACGGGGATTAGTGAAGACATATACCACCCTATAGAACTCAAATTATGTGCAAGCTTCATGGTGTGGAAGAATATTGTGATATATTCCGTTAAATTTTTTACCATTTGACTATTTTTTGTTAGATATAGGTTATTTTAGATTTGAAAATTAATGACAATTCCTATACAATGTTTTTTGTCGAGAGAAAATAAATATATAATTAGTGATACATCCTTTCAAGATCAAGCAGTGCTAAAGATCCTCGTGATTGAGAATGATAGCCTGGCCAGTTTGTTTAGCAGACAATTTAGGCGCGAAAGCAGAAACGTCGGTTAATATCAGAAGCTCAGTAGTTCGTAGCTCAGCACGAATCCTTTCATTTTATATTATCATCACCAGCACTCTTTGCGGCCTGCTGGTGTTCCTGATGATATTCTGACGTTTCCAGGATAATTACTGATTGCCTACGAGTAAGGCTTTTTATCAGCAATAAAATGATTATCCAACAAAGTAGCTCGGAAGGTGGAAACAGCAAGTATAGTCACGCGCACCTTATGGAAACGTTCAACTTGCGATGTGGATCCTTGTTTCAATCGCAACAAAGTTTAATTTGCTGAACTCCATCAAATAGTGGGACGTTTTCGCTGTTCACTCATTTGACGCTAATAATGCTATTATAAGTAATTTTGATCTCGGTGTAAGTAGGTATGGTGCAAAAATAATAAGATCCTCTATTTTTTGCAACGCCTACTTAAAAAAAATAAAAAAAATCCAAAAAAACGCATTTTTCCATATAACCAAGAAATTAAAAATGTAACATGTGATACATCGTTGAATTCATATAAAAAATGCAATTAGAAACAAGGTGTACTTTTTTCGGACCATATAAAAAATAAAGTTGATGATGGTTTCTCAAAGACGAACCATCGTGCACAACATTTAAAAACACCTCCATGTAGCGCCAATGGAAAAGTTTCATTCGTTTATTGATATTTAAAAAAAAAGTTGGAAGAAATAAAAAAATACTTGGTCAAATTTTAGTTTTCCAGAAATATCTCAGTGAGCCATGAAATCGTTACAAGGAACGCAACTTTTTCCTAATTAAACCTGAGCTGTATCACCCACAGGTATTGAGATCCCCATACATAGGATCCTTATCTTGGATACCCTGTACAATATGTTACAACGCTATTACACAGCTAGGGTGTGTGAATGGCAGGACCGGCTTAGTGTTACCTGGTTTACCAGGTGATGATACCTTAATAAATGCAGGATACAGGGGAAAAAAGATGAATGTCACAAATTTGGTGTTTTATAGTTAGTACTGGCAACATGTTATCTTAACGCAGTATAATCCCATGAAATATCGGAAACACGCAAAAACAATGTCAGTCCGTAGTTATGCCCAATTGAAAACTTGCCGTGCAGGGAAAAAAGGTGAACGCCCACTGATCGTCACCGAAACTACGAGTAGTAGCTACTACAACAATTTACCGTGTACACCAATCTGCGATGAAAGAAATAAACGTAATCATTTTTAAGCGGTTACCATTAATTTTGTCTTGTTTGTTCCGTATTCCTTTGAATAAAGCTTTCTTTGGTTCATTGTTTTTTCCTGTCTCAATTAAAAAAAACATTTAGAAATAATTCTGCTTGAGCTATTGAAAATCACCTTGTTCTAGGCACTGTGTCATTTTCCTGTTAAGGCTCACTTCGAATCTCAATATCTCAAAAAAACTTGAATTGAGGCATGGACGCTAACACATAAAGAACACTGATCAACAGCCAAAAAATATCCTAAATAAAATCAACAAAATATTACTATTTTTAATGTGCTAAAACCGGAATGAAACTTATTTTTTCAATATTAGTTCAAGTTTTAGAGATAAGGTAATTATATGTGTTCCTGCTGTGACATTGTTAATATACAGTAATTCACAAGAATGCACGTGCTACATTTTTATATTCGACAAGGAAAGATGATGTAATCGGCATGATTTTGTTACGTTATACATACGTGTACATTATATTGTTTTATATTAGCCATTTTTTCCTCAGTTGGCTGACAGCGTTCATGCAAGATGTCTCGAAAGTGTGTAAACAATCCAGATCAGTTTTGTTACGTGTGTGGTGATGTGACTTTTGCGTCTCAGAGACGGTCTATTACTCCACTAATAACAAAGGCATATCAGCTTTATTTCGGTTGTAAACTAGGTGATCAAGACAAACAGTGGGCACCCCACATCTGCTGTAATACATGTACTTCAAGTCTGAGGAGCTGGTTAAATGGCAAAAAACAGTCTATGCGCTTTGCTGTCCCAATGGTTTGGAGAGAGCCTACAAATCATATTAATGATTGTTACTTTTGCATGGTACCTTGTGTTGGACAAGCCACAGGTATGTCCAAGAAAAAAAATCGGTTATTAACTACCCAAACATACCATCTGCGATGAGACCTGTGCCTCACATTGACGAAAATCCTATTCCAAAACCCCCAGAATCCTACACTTGCGAATCAGAAAACGAATCAGATCATGGCGATCGAGTGATTCGTCAGGACGAAGATATGCCATCAACGTCAAGAGATCCGGATTTTATACCGAGCATGTCATGCCACCAACCGCAAAAAATAACACAGTCAGAATTAAATGATCTTGTAAGAGATTTAGAACTTCCAAAATGTAAGGCAGAGTTACTTGGATCAAGACTGCAGCAGTGGAACTTGTTAGAAGACGATGTTTCGGTATGTGTTTTTCGTAAACGCCACAAAGACTTAGAACCATTTTTCAACATGGAGAATAACTTGCATATTGGAAATATTTTACCATCTCTCCCTGTAGGGTATGCAGTTCACATGAAAGAATCATATGACAATATGAAGTACCTATTCACATGCATAAAATACGATGAGCACCAATGGCATATTTGTGGCGATTTGAAAGTTGTTGCACTTTTACTTGGGCTGCAGCTAGGCTACACAAAGTTTTGCTGTTTTTTGTGTGAATGGGACAGTCGGGCAAAGGCACTTCATTACACCAGACAAAACTGGCCTGTTCGTCAATTCCTAGAGCCAGGTCAAAAAAATGTACAGCATATGCCATTAGTAGATTCGAAAAAAATGTTATTACCACCACTGCATATCAAGTTGGGCCTAATGAAAAACTTTGTTAAGGCATTAGATAGAGATGGGTCAGCTTTTCAATACCTGCGTCAGAAATTTCCAAGACTAAGTGAGGCAAAGATTAAAGAAGGTATTTTTGTTGGGCCACAGATTCGAAATATTTTGAAAGATACACAGTTTGAAAACACTTTAACAGGTATTGAAAAAACTGCTTGGAATGATTTCCGTCTGGTGGTCACTAATTTCTTGGGAAATAGAAAAGCTGACAACTATAAAACCCTT